ATAATGTAGTTCATTTATATAAAGCTGAAAATCAGGAAAAATTAATCTGTGGTATTAGAAGTCATGAAAGTGGTTACCCTTAGGTGGGAGTAGTAGGGACCTGTATGGGGATGGAAAAAAAGTGATGGTATGATAGTGTTTTATTTGTTCACATGGGAGCTGTTTCCATGGGCGGGTTTCCCTAGTGAAATTTGGTAAGCTGTAAAATTTATGATTTATGTTTTACATCAAAAAAGAAGTTACACAGAATTTTAAAACCCTCACAGCCTTGATTACCAGAAAAGCTGCCTGTGAGAAGGAATTAGAAGTCTTATGTGAGAGAAGATCAATAGACCTCCAAGTTTTCAGGGAAAGGATGGGAGGTTGGCAATGGGGATTAGAATGGGGACCAAACAAATAAGTATAATACTGGGCCCATAAAGGGAGCCAGAGATCAAATATTAAAAAATGTTGAGATTCATCTTCCAGAAGCAAGTAGGGTAGAGCACAAATGATAGCAGGTTTGTAGGTTTGTTTTTTTGTTTTGTTTTGTTTTATGAGCTGTTAAAAGGAAGCACTAGTTCTAGGGAGTCCATCTAAAATTTAGCAGGAGGGAAAGAGGGACCAGAATGCAGCCAGTGTGGCACTCACTACACTGCTCAAGACTACGCTGGCCACATGGTGCCGAGATCAGTGCTGGGCTTTCTGTTCTCTTGGTCTGTGGTGCACTTGGAAAGATGGAGACACGCCAGAAAACTGAAAGACAGGTAAAACGGGATGACCCATTTTGACTTAACTGTTTAGCTGTTTTCACGTAACATTTAAGCCCTCAGCCTTCCTATAGCTGAAGCAAAGGATAGTCTCAAGTCCTACCCACATTCGAACTATGTATGTGCTATATAGCAGGTCCCTCAGAGGTTAGGGGAGAGATTAGGCTCAGTACAGAATGAAGATGCCTTGCAGAACACTTGGCCTGGGCAGGATTCATTATTATAGTCACTCCTTGATATGAATATAAGTGATCGTCATATTCCTAGATATGTCCCATTAGATGTTAGAAGCATTAAAAACGTATTTGTAGATTTTTCTTTTTTTTGCTTCATCCATAAGATTTAAGATCTCCTTACTAATGAAGAAAACAGGAATTTTAACCACTGCAGTTAGCTATTACTTTGTTATTTCTATTTCCTCCAATATAGATATTTGGGGCTTTTCTTTACCACAATTAAACATGCTATTTTTCTAGTCTATTTTCCCCACAGACTTGAAGAATAGACATTAAAATGGACACTCCATGTGTTATTATTTGATATGTCATTAAATTTGTATTTTGCGGTGTTTGACAATAATATGAAATATAAGCTATCTGTCCTATTTCAGTATCACTTTACAATGACCAGATGTCCTTAATACTTTAAGAATATAATTATAAACAAGAGACAAATTCTATTATACCAGTTCTTCTTGACAATATACTTCAATTTGAAATAAAATATTCGAGGTATTGTTTGAATATGTTCAGTAATATGAGGAGCACAAAAGATTTAAATAAAGCTATTTAATTTCTCAAAATACAGGATTTCTGAAACTAGATCATTATCTTGTGAAAATGAGGAGCCAGAAATGTTTTGTTTTACAAAGCTTTTTCATACATTTCTGAAACTGGATTACTATCCTGTGAAAATGAGAAGCTGGGAATGTTCTGTTTTACAAAGCTTTTTCACACATTATATAATTTGTCATAGCTTCCCAGGAGGAGGAAGATTTAGTACATCCCAGAAACCATTTATTTTTTGCAGATATTTATTGACTACTTTCTATGTACAGAGCCCCCACTATAGTATAATTAGGGCTTTGTCACTGCAGAGTTCTTGCATAGTTCTTGCATAGTAAATAATATTCAACATAAGCATAATTCTTTATAATTTTCATAGCATATCTACATATGGTTTAATATGATCATCCTCTAAAGTACAGTGAAATAATTACCCCATTTTATTTATTTTATTTTTATTGAAGAACAGTTGAGACACAATACTATATTTGTTTCAAAAACCCAACACAATGGTTCAACAGTTACACAAATTATTAAATCCTCACCAAAACTAGTTCATCTGTCAACATAGAAAGATGTTATAGTACCATTTACTATATTCTCCATGCTGCATTCCCATCCCCATGACTAACATATTATGACTAATATTTATGTGACCCTTTATCCCCTTCTCTCTCCCCACCCACCCACCCAGGAGACAAAATCAATACACAGAAATCTGTTGCATTCCTATATATGAACAACAAACTAGCAGAAAGAGACATCAGGAAAATAATCCCATTTACAATTTCATCAAAAAGAATATAATACCTAGGAATAAACCTAACTAAGGATGTGAAAGACCTGTACTCTAAAAACTGTAAGGCACTGATGAGAGAAATATAGAAGACAAAAGTAAATAGAAATCGATCTCATGCTCATGGATAGGAAGAATTAATGTTGTCAAAATGGCCATCTTGCCCAAAGCTATTTACAGATTCAATGCAATCCTTAACAAAATACCAATGACATTTTTCAAAGAACTAGAGCAAAGAATCCTAAAATTCATATGGAACCACAAAAGACCCTGAATAGCCAAGCCATCTTGAGAAAGAAGAATAAAGCTGGGGGTATTATACTCCCTGACTTCAAGCTATACTACAAAGTTATAGTGATTAAAGCACTATGGTGCTGGCAAAAGAATAGACCCATAGATCTATCAATGGAACATAATAGAGAGCCAGATACAAACCCATGAATATATGGTCAATTAATATATGATAACAGAGCCATGCAGATACAATAAGGAAAAGACAGTCTCTTAAATGCATGGTGCTGGGAAAACTGGACAGATACATGCAAGAGAATGAAACTCGATTACTGATGCTGTACACAAAAGTAAACTCAAAATAGATTAAAGGCTGAAATATAAAACGTGAAGTAATATAACTCTTAGAAGGAAACATAGGCAAAAATCTCTTAAACATAAGCATGAGCAATTTTTCCTGGACATATCTCCCTGGCCAAGGGAAACAAAAAAAATGAACAAGTAGGACTATCTCAATCTAAAAACTTCTGCACAGCAAAGGACACCATCAACAAAACAAAAAGGCATCCTACAATGTGGGAGAATATATTCACAAATGATTTATCTCGTAAAGGGTTAACATCCAAAATATATGAAGAACTCGTATGCCTCAAAACCAGTAAAACCAAATGACCTGATTTAAAAAATGGGTGGAGGAACTGAACAAACATTTTTGCGAAGAAGTACAGATGGCCAACAGGCACATGAAAAGATGTTTCACATCACTAATCATCGGGGAAATGCAGATCAAAACCACAATGAGATATCACCTCACAACAGTTAGAATGGCCACTATCGAAAAGACAAGAAATAACAAGTGCTGGTGAGGATTTGGGGAAAAGGGAACACCCCTGTACTGTTGGTGGGAATATAAATTGGTGCAGCCACTATGAAAGCAGTATTGAGGTTCCTCAAAAAACTTAAAATAGAAATACCATATGACATAATAAGTGCATTTCTAGGAATTTACCCAAAGAAAACAAATCTCTGATTTGGAAAGCTATATGCACCCCTATGTTTATTGCACTGTTTGCAACAGTAGACTCATAGACACTGAGAAATAGGGTAACTTGTGGTTACCCTATTTTAAAGAGGAGTAAACACTGTGACTCTGAAATTAAGTTACTTGCCTGAGATCACAGTTAGCAAGTGGAACTTGGATCCAGAACCTCATGTGCTTTTCCTTCACTATCTTACTTTATATAATTTCCTTATTCAAGGAATGTACTTTGTTATCCAATTCAATACCTACAGTAGTCGGTATGTGATACATATATGAGCAGTGATAATTATTATAGAACACATTTCAAATGTCTTGACAAATTATCATGTTAAAAACACCTAAATTTAAAGCAAAATATGTTTTTGGAGCCTATGAAATTTGGAATCCAGAAACAGAATATAGTTAAGTTGCATTATTACAAATGAAAAACACAGAATTTTACTTTTCAAATTTTAATCACCATATCTTCAAAAGTATACATGGATTTTGTTTATCTTTCATATGTTTTGTATGTGTGATATGTTCACTATCTTTCATCTAGACCAATTAACTGAAGAACTTAAAAGTTTAAGTGATGGAAAATTGGATGAAGAATATTCCGAAATTCAGGAAAGAAAAAAACATATAAATTCTACTTGTGAGAAACTAAGTTCAGATCATAGAAAGGATATTTCTGCAACTATGGCTTGCCACAGATCTTAGCACTTGTTCTTATTTATGCCTGAACTGCTTTTCCTCTGAGGATCCCATGGCTCTCACCCTAATTGCCTTCAGGTCTTTATTCAAATACCACCCTTTCATATGAGACCTTCCTAGCCACTCTATTAAAAGTATAACTGTACTCCCAGAATTATCTATCTTACTTTATTACATAGCATATACACAGTCTAACATCCTCTATATTTTATGTATTTAATTTCTTACTTGTATCTTTTTATAGAATGTAAAATTCATGGGGGTGAAGTATAGATTTTGTTCTGTTTTGCTAACTTCTTTTATTCCTAGTACTGTGAAAAGTGGCAGATAAAAGAAAGTGGATTGGTGTTCAATAAATACTTTTCTACACAAAAAAAGCAACATTGGTGGAGGGATAATGAGAGGAATTGTGAGTCCCAGGGGAGGGTATAAAACTGAGGTTGCCAATGCCCAACCCTAGATGTTAAAAATGTTTCTGTAGACAAAGAAAAGATCATTTGCATAGAAACAATTACATACATATTAATACCACCATTCCATTTTTTAGGAATTTATCCAAAAGGAATGATCAAGGAATTTCATGAAGACATAAATATGTTTATTTCAGCTTGGCATATGCTGTGGGGTAGAAACCTTTTGCTGTATTACCAATATGAATAAATAAGGTATCTGGAGTCAATAACAATATTTTAGATACTTACCTAGAGTTTTGCTGTAGTATGAATTCCATTCTCCCCAGTAGGACTGAAATATATAGTCTTGCAGAGAATAAGATATGGCATTTTTGACCCTTTCACCAAAGGTCATCTGATCAGTGAGCTCTGACAGGGCTGCAGGTACATAGGATGCAGGTGCTGGGATTTTTCCACAGTGTCTTTCCAATGTCGAGGCTGGAGAGAACCTCAAGGTGTACAGAAATGGAATTCCTAATTTCAGAGCAACAAGTTCCCCACACATTGTTACTGGGTCTGCTACCAAAAGATCAAAACCACCTTTCTGAAGTCTTGCTAGTAACTTGGGGTTGTTTAATACTCCATCACAGATTTGTACATTAATTTGGAAAAAAGTATCTAGAAGATTTCCTAGTTCTTTGTAGAAAGTCCAGAGTGTGAGAGGAGTTGGTCTATGCTCTATCCACAGCATTATCAAATGTTCAATTAAGGCATCTATATTGCTCTTCTTGAAGGCAACAGGTATCACCTCAAAATTCACAGGAAAATCAGGTTTGGAGTTGATGAATAGAGTTACTGATGAAGCCAGTACAGTCACATTGTGATTTCTTTCAATTAACTCTTCTAGAATCATCTTAATATTTAACCAATGGCTACCATCCGTTGGCCAAATGAGCACATTACCACTTAGAACAATTTCAGTCAGAGTCAAATTAAAAACCAGCAGCTGGACAAACTTCTTAGGCGTGGTGATATCCATTATGGAAGCCATCCTACTGTAGATCTTTTAAGATGAAAACAAATTTTCAAAATATATTTAGATAGAGTTTTTCCCCAACAAAATGATGTTTACTGTGGTGGCTACTCTCATTCATAGGTCAACTGATCTATATACTAAAAGGAATACAATATAGTTCAAATTCTTATTCATTGATATAATTATTCCAACAACAGAAATTAAATCTGGTCTTATTTCAAGAAAAAGAAGCAGTGAGTTATGAACCTGGTATCTGTGTACTCTGTGGTAATAACTATAAAATGCATCTTCAATTTAATATGTCTTTCCCAAAATTGGTTAAAAAAAAATACTAGCATATATGGCTAAAGCCACTTTCTCAAAACTTATAGTATCTCCAAGTTGGATATTCTTATTATAAGGCATTACATGCACTGTCTAATTTAGTCCTTTCCACAATCTTATATGGCAGAAACTATTTACTCCATTTCATAGATAGAGAAATTAATGTTGAGCTGCATATCCAAAAATATATGACAAAGTAGTGCAATTGGAACAACAAACATGACATTATTTGACTCATTGTTAGGTTTCTATAGTATTATGCCTCATCTTTGTCAGTTTAAGAACTTTGGCAACACACAATTATCAGAATTATTATCCATGACTCACATTTAGGAAGAAAAATTAAAAACAACTTTCATTTAAATGAATCAAGCATTTCAAAATGTTTTAGAATAATTGGGTTATACAGTAAATTACTACACATTTTATAGAGGATAATTTTCTTCTCTGATTACACAATTGATCATTGTCTTCCTGTTATAGGGAATTTTCTACTTACTTCAGTATGACATGTTCATACATAAATCAAGGAGATAGGGCCTGGCACCGTAAGAAACCACATAGTTTTCCACTCAGAGCTATGTAGTAGCTTAAATTAGGTGGACATTACAGCTCAATAGCCCCAGATTCAAAACTGCCCTTTAATAAGCTTTGCAGCCCTGGGGAATTACCTAGACCCTCTCAGCCTTGGTTTTCTTATGCATGAAGGAGATAAAATTATGTTCATTTTTGTATTACTTTGTGGATTAGAAATAACTCCTGCAAAGTTTGTTTGCAAACTGCTTGATTCATTGCAAGAATTTAGTATGTTATTACTTTAGTAAATCTATGTAAGGATTTATCAGTAAATCAGTGGGCTAGCTACACAATGACTAGTTAGACATGGATATAATGATTTCTATCATTTGAGATTCTTAGTGAATGATAAATGGAACAATGAAAACTACACAGTGATTCTATTTTAAAAGTTAAAATCAAAAGTTAAGCTGCCGTTAAAGAAAGAAAATATGAACAAATAAAGTGGTTGATTAAGAGAATAGAAAGCAGCAACTGAGAATAGAAATTAACTGGTATGTTTTTTGCACTCTGTTGCACTTCAGTTTTGTTATTTTAGGCTCTGAGTAACAAAAGGACCAGGAAGGCTGAGAGAGGGAAAGAGGAAGAGTGAAATGATTTTTTAAAATTACTGTATTTGTGTCTCTTCGAGAGTCAGCTCAATTAGATATAGTGACATTACCTTTAAAATTACTTAGATTTTGAAACAAAACAGCAAGAGTATGGTTAATCTTGATGGACATTAAAACAGGCCTAGTGAAGAGAATTTGAAATATCTTTATAAAGAAATCTGTTGCTGTCATGACCTTCCAGTGGAAGCAAACATAACAACATATAAAGCATAACCTAAAGTGTTTCTATAAAATACTTAGATTTGTCCAATTATTCAGGTCAATGTAAGTGCAATATAATCATTAATTAGGGATTACTCACTAGCAACAGCTAAGATAGCACTTGAAAGCTTATCAAAATATATTCCAGAATCAAATACACATAGGCAGCCTTAAATTACCCTGAATAAAAAAAACGAAGAGTTCGAGAAGTCAGTATGCCAATGTTAGGCAGTCTTTTCAAGACAATAATGCCTGACCTAACTGCAGTTTTGACCCCCACCTCTCCCCAGAAATGTAACCTTTAACCAGCCAAACTGGAATTTCCTGGTCAACAATGGAGATAATTCACTGATAGACCCTTCTATTCCCCTTAGAAGGACAACATTGCCTAAAAAATGCATTCTTTGATAATAATTTATTTTTCTTTGCTCCCTCTCTACTTTTAAAAACCTTTCCTTTCCTGCAGTTTGATGGAGCTGGAGCTCCCCTGTACTTGCTGGATGGGATGCTGCCCAATTTGATTTTCCAATTTATTCCATTTAATAAGCCAAATAGATTTTCACATTTATTCAGTTGAAGTTTTGTTAAGTAACAGATTTGGTGGCAGCACTGGGATCCACAGCAAACTTCTGACAGCAAAAAGAGGCATAGTACCCCATGAACCCTTTTGGATTCATGCCGTCTTTCTTGCAGTTTCCGAAGGCCACTGGTAAGTTCCTCTCAGTTTGAGCTACACTCATCTACATTGAGCTCCTTATCTAATAGGATTAGTGGGTCAGTGTACCATTCCCCAGCTGCTCAGAATCTCTTTCCCAAGGTCCAGTCCACCGTCACCATTTATGGGATTTGCCAGTTAGATCCTTTCCCCATTTCCAGCCCACAGTTTCCATTAATAGTCTGCTGTTTTAGCCCATGCTAGGAATTGCTGGTGGCAGTTGTAGTTCTCCATTTGTATAGAATCAGTCTGCAGTCCCCATTGTTGGAGGTCTGCTGGTTTAATCCTTTCCCCAGTCCACAATTCTTTGGTTACTTCTGATGTCCACAGTTCTGTTTCAATGTTTACTTTTGGTTTCTATTAATGTGCATATGAGGTAAGAGCTAATTGCTACTGGGGAACACAGAGGCCAAAAATCTGCAAAAAATTTGTGGGAACTGGTTAAGCATTTAAGAGCTGTTAAAGCTCTCACCACCTAACTCAAAGATTCCAAGTGAATATAAATTGGTCACAGAATGAGTTAGATTGACTCTCGGTCACCCACTAACCTCAAGAAAACTTCCATGCAACGAGTACAATGTAAAACATGCATGGTCCTCTGACCCAGCAAGCCCTCTGTACCTTTCAGGTATTAGTTTGGCTTCCAGAGACCCAAAGCCTTGGCTAATGGGATCCTTAAATTTTAATCAGTCTAGTGCACCACTTTATGGCACACATGCTTACTTTATTTCTGAAAACTATGGTCCAGGAAGCTGTGACTATTTACAAATGTCAAAATTTTACTAAAAATAACCTAGAATTTTATTGGCTATTATGAGAAACATTCCTTTAGGTAAGATCATTTAAGAAGTTCACATAAAAACAAAATCTTTAAAATAGCAAAAATAAGTTCATTGAAAGTTCCTTTGCAAAAAGCTGGTTAAAAAAAAAATAAGGTATCTCATTCTAAAGACCATGAGCCTGATGTAATTCCTATTGCTTCCCTCCATCCTTTATTTGAATACTAATCTAGCTATCCTCTGAATTGCCTTTTTACAAGGAGAGATACTAAACTAATTAGGCTTGTTTGGCATGTTAAATTACATGGGAAGCATTGTAAAGTAAGTAATACTAAACCTTCTTTATACTGTGTCTGTATAAGTTTTCCAGAAATGTGTACAATTCCTGGAAATATGCTGTCCTAATCAACAAAAGCCTGTCATGTTAGTGAATTTACAAAGTCACCTCCATATCTCCCTTCAAAAGAGGATCCCCCATTAGCCCCTCCCAACAAGACTCTGAGGGATTTTCTGGTAAACTGCTACATCACTATTTCTTTAACCAGTCAAGGAAAAGGTAAGTTAAAAAAAATTACAACATAATTTTTAAGTCAGTCTTTTAACATCCAGGCTACAATCCAATTGTTTGAGTAATCAAAAGCAACTATCTTTATATTACAAATCTTTACAAAAGTACAAATGCAGCTCTAGAGACAATTCATAAAAATTTTCAAAAATAAAACAGGAAACTAATCCAAATATATTTTTTAAGTTCACATGATCTAGGATAATTTTCAGTAAATAAAAGCTAGTTTAAGTTTGTTGGTTAATTTATACAGCTATGTCTTAGAGTTATCAACATTGAATATAACTCAGACATAAAACTTTATTCTTCCTGGGTTTGTTAGTCAAACAAGTTCATATTGTCTTTGTTACAAAATCTGTTAGCAGAAAAATTACTTAGAATAATGGGTGACTGTCTAATGTCTCATAAAGTTTTTAATCTAAATCTAAACATAATTGCTAAGAACAAGTAAATTGAATAGATGTATAAGATAAAAAGGTTTCAAATAAGCTTTTAAAATAGTTTCCCCAAATCTTTTTGATAACTTGAAACCTTCAAATTTTGCTAAGGTAAGTGATGAACTAAGTTCATTGAAATATCCAGATTATTTCCAAAAAAGATAAAATACTGAAACATTAATTACTGAGCACAGGCTTAACCAAATTTTGCTTCTTTTATAGAGGGACTATTTGTGTCTAGTAACAAACATGGTTTATGCCACACTGAGAAATTTTCTATGAAAAAAACACATTTCTAGAAATCATAAAAAGCATTTATAAGTGTTCTGATTCACAGAATGCTAATGTAAAAGATAGATCACAATTGTTTACCTTTTAGTTAAGATTCCTAAGAGCTAAGAATTCTAATATATATAATTAAAGCTACTAGAAATGATAAGGGAAACGTCTCTGTATTTAAGAAAAGTAGGATGTATGCATTTGGCCAAAGAAGGTATGAAGATTGAAAATGCATTCTTATTGAGGGAAAAGAAAGTAATTTTGTCCTAAGGTGAGGTTGGTTATTTAAAGAGGGAAAGTATAGGACAATCCAAATGTAAAAAAGGAAATTGTAAATGATTGTGGAAAAGGAATCTTTGAAAAAGAATTTTAATGTGCGGTCAAGTTGGCTAAGGTTAAAGTGAAACTAAAATGAAAC